ATTTATTACGAAAACACCAAGACTGCATTTTTTTTAATAGAAATATTATTGCATGATATCAATACTGTTCTTTGTAGATGATATCAGGACAACATGCCAAAGTTCGTTGGGAATGGCATGCCAAAGTTCGTTGGGCACCTTGTCAATTCAAGTAATTTTTTTTTAATTTATATTAAAGTCTTTTTTAAACGACAATTAGTATTTATGTTTTATTAAGAATATGTCACTGATATGAACCAGGTAGTTAAGTAAGATGTGGCTGAAGTAAAATATTCTCTATTTTACTCAGATTCATAAGCTAAATGGATATAGCAAAATATGGATTTATCATTCCTAAATATCGAATTTAAAAAACTATCGTTTTTCAGAAGATAAGTGAAGTGTATCGCTTACTATGAAAACAGAATGTTTTTTTTTTTAAAGCTAATAAACATAAGTGGGAAACATAAATAAAAGTTATTTTTATCAAACAATCAAAACGGTATTATCAGAAGTGGATCATAACTTGCAAGTATAGATCGTCTTTGCCTTTACTGAAAATCGATTATAACATTATCTTTCAGGAGCTGACTTTTTCAAGTAACATTGATTTGACGTATATCAATGATAGGGATTCATATAACAGCTTTTGTAGTATGTTCAACTTTAGAAAACAAGTGTATAGTAAATCTCCAGTAAAATAATTCACTAGAATCAGTAAGTGATATTGAATTAAAACTTAAACACAAATTTACAGCCCTTTGCAAGACCTGCATGATGTAAGACTAGGATTGCAGAGTTTGCCTTGCAAAAGCTTCCGTTAACATCCAAAGACATCAAAATCCCTTCATATAGCCTTAAAATAATAAAAAATATTATTATCGATGTCAGTAACTTTACAATTTTTACCATACCTGTTGCTTCTTACATCACTATATAGTTTTACCATCGGTTCTGCCTGTGAAAAAAAATCATTATCAAACATATTAGTAATTCATTCCACAAAACAAAGTTGTTTGGTAATAAGATTATCACATCTGTTACTTTATGATTATAAAGCGCCAAATGGCAAAGGATTAAGTGAAAAATGAAAAATCGATTTTGTTTGCTAGCAGATTTAAGAATAGAATGATGCAATTGGGAAGGTAAATAGGTCACAAGCAAAAAGATAGGAGACGTTAATCTGAACTTTCCTTTCTTAAGCTACCCCGATAAAGCGATCACGGTTCATTGGCTTTTCCGCATATCTGAATTGACAAGCAAATATGCTTTTCTGTCTGCCAATAAAAACCATATTGTTGTCGAGCAAACGATTATTCAGTTGAATAACTGCCGCACAACAGATCCCTAACCTTCATATCAAACTGTCCCTCATTTTTCGACACATTTTTTCATTCGAAGCAGTGCAGATTAGTTAAATTCGATTTGCCCAATTTAAAACCTGTTCAATAAAATCAGTGAAAACAGCAGTATACAAAACAATTCAAAAAAATTCTTTATTCGTTTCAGAAGAATATAAACATTAATGCAAAAAATTTTTTCTGAAACTTGATTTATATCAAAAATCTTGACTAATACTTCAAAATCATTTTGCCCAGCAGAAAAAATATTTCAATTTTCTCTATATCTAGTGGATTCCCTATTATCATTAATCGACCATTGTTGAAAAATTATGTTGAAAATGTTGAAAAATTGTTGAAAAATTTAGTATTACATCGACTTGTTTGATAAAGCAGTACTGTAAATGAATGCAGACATTAACAAGCAGTTTCCATAAACAAACTATTGTTCCAGGAAAAATTTCACTGATCAAAGCGATCCTCAGTCCAAATATTCTAAAATTTTTATTGATGTTGAAACCTCAAGAAAAAATTCTTACCACAATTTTTGTCGTAATATTAAGTAAGGAATGAGTTTGTAGTACTCTAATTCTTACTTTTCAAAATAACATTTGTAGAAAGCTTTTAATTAGATTCCATCTAGTCGATAAATCTGTCAACCAAGTTATGATGAGAAAATAATTCAGTTGTAATGAAATCAATTGGTGTAAGCAAAGAAAATTAATCATGAATAAATCTGCAGATATATTTCGCTAATTCATAAAATATATTTAAAATTTTTTCAATGGTGATTTTTATTCGATCTTCCGGGTCAATCTTGAAGAGTATCTTAGAATGAAACCAGTATTTATAAGTTAATGCATCTGTCGGCATCAACGAGCGTGGTAACTGGTATCTACAACCACCATAAAAGGAGCTTTTGAGGCGTCACCAATTAGTGATTGTCATACTACTCAACTTCCTTTGACGAACTTGACCGATCTGCTGGAATAATACTTCAATTTTCTCATTATCGTTGCCCACGCATAAATAATTAAAAGTGTTAGTTTATTTATCATTTCACTACTTTTCAATGAATTTTAATAAAGCATGGATTGAATAATTCTATATTAAGTTTCGCTTCAAAAATGTATCATTTGCAGAAAACAATCTGAACAGTGGCATGCTCTTCAAGCTATCAGCAACCTGGTATTTTATTTTACTAGTTATATATGCGACAGTCAACGGACAAAATGAAAAAGAAACTTTGGAAAGTTTCAAATGGCCGCGATGGGGTCTGTTTTCGAAAAAATTTTAGTTTGAAGTACATAAACAGTTGCTTATACCATTGATATCAGCAGAAACGAAGGAATTAGCTGTGTGTTTCTCTTTTGTTTCACGGAGAAATAGCTAAAATGAAAACATATGCTTGAACATGGAGTTTTGATTTTACTCGAGAAAATATAAACCCCTCCATATAAATATATTTATCTTCAGGGAATCCTCTGATGCTCAAAATAAATTGTGTGAAAAGATAAAGGGTTACACCCGCCATTCACTTCATCCAACAAACAAAAATCACTGTTATAAGTAACGCCTATAGTTGAATCAAAGCAATGATTTTATCAATGTTACGAAGAAAAGGAAGTTTACTTCCTATTAATGGATTCTTCGAAAGCATATTTCTATTTTAGAGGAACGAACGATCGACTGTATAACTGCAGAAGGAAAGGAACCAGATCAATGCACGTTGATCGCAGGAAATGCCAAAATACCTCGAGATCCTGCTAAGTACAAGTGTCGCCGTGAACCGATGCCCGTCAATAGCAGGAATACATTAGCACGAAATTCCACAACAAGACTAGCATGTCCTATTGGTTGTGAACCCGATGCCAAGCTTTCTGTTACTCTTAAATTTTTTACTCATTTATTGTTTTGACCTAACTTTTTCTTTTCTTACCAGATTAATTATTCGTTAATTAATTCAATCCATTCCTCAATCTGTCGTTAGGAATACTATCAGTAGGTACTATTATGACCATCATTACCCATCATTATGTTTTGCAGTTTTTTCTAATTATGTTGTCAGCATCATCTAATCGCTAACTTCGATTTATTAATCCAACAGTCCCAGTCGTTACATAGATTACATAAGTTTATTACTTTGAAATGACTTAAAATGTGACAATGTCCATTAAAAAAGCGCCGAATGAGCAAGTTACTAAATTTCAGCAGTAATTCGAAGGCCAAGAACAAAAAGGCTGATTAATAAATGAAAATTTTCGAGTTTACATATTTTGCAGGTTTTGGTCAAATCACCTCAGAACAATCATCTATGTCAAAAATACTACACATATGGAAAATATCGCGATCAAAAAGAAGGTGATTGGTATCTTTGGTTGACAGAACCATGTCGAGCAAATTTAACAACATGGTGCCGTTTTAAAGATATTCCGCTTTTCATGCCCAAAATTCGAAATTAGCGATAAAACCGCTCGAAACCGTGTCAGTTAGACTGTTATCATTTGCATTTTTAATTAGTTTCTTAGAGAGCTAATAGCTATGATGATCTATTGATGCCGGGTAAAGTATGGAGATCAATAATTCTCTTAATAGGGCAAACTGACACATTTATCTCTTTTGATATGCTGGTTCTAGTATGACAGGAAGCATTGAAGAGATTCGGGTTATTTTTAGAAACTAGAACTGACATCACTGAGAAAGCATACAATGAAAAAGCTTTTTCGCGACATAATAATTTGGTTGTCAAAATCACTTGCAACTTCATTAATTTAGGCAATAAGACAATGATAAGTGGGGTTATGTTTCCTTTTCTGGCCTTTTTCACTGTGAATGTTGTAGCTTTAGCAATATTTATAATAGTCGATACTTACTAATTTGCTTGAATATATAAAATAAAAGCTTGATAGCCAACGATAACAGTTAATAAATCAAGTAAGAAAAGAAAGGCTAATATTCCACAATATCTGTAAGATTTCAAGTCTTTTTCAAACCAAAGCATTGTATGAGCCATGGAGAGAATACGTATAATTGCAATAATAAATTCTTATAATCAGTTTTGGATTTTAACTTCTGAATAATATGATTCAGAATCTTGAACATTTACGTCCTTCTTTTACTTTCTCTTCTGCTCTTCATTTATTTTATTTCTTAAAAAAAAAATACACAGACTCTTAAGAAAAAAACAAACTAAATTTGGCAATAAAAATCTGATATATTTTACCTCAGTAACAAAATTGATGCAATTACACTTCTGAGGGTCAAAGGTTGAGGGTCAAAGAGTAACAAAAAAAATTCATTTGCAGTGAAGAAGTTGACTATTGTAATCGATTTGAATTAAATGTTGATTGAAGCCAATTTAGAAATGTATTTTTGGCATTTGAAGAAAGCATCATTAGCAAATGAAGCGTTAATTTATATTCCAATTTATTCAAAATAACTTTTGGGAGTTCCAATCAACGCAAATAGTTTCATATAATCTGCTAACAATTTTATACTGAAATGCGATAACGCGTCACATCACAACGTTTTTGAATCCATTATCCAATGCTTCTTCAACGAACTGACTAATATTTTGCTGTCATTTTTATTTCTATTTTTCACAAAAAAAGAAACTGAATTTACAAATTTCCTTTTTTCTTCTTCATGCAAAAACAAAACGGTTATATTAAAAAAAGATACTCAAGCAGTGTCATGTTCTTGATTATTCCGAATAATACAGCCTTCAACTGTAGCATTTTTCTCTATTTCATCCTTCTTCCATTTTGTCCGCCGATTTTGAAACCAGATCTTCACCTGGATAGATATTCATCAATTACTACTAAACCTCTTTTATTTGTCATTTTCAAGACTTATTTCTTCTAAGAGATTAAATAATTTCAAAATATCTGCTATGGTGATGGTAGTTAAATTGATACTGTAAACGTAAGTAAAGTTCCCTAATGGTTTATCAAATAAAAACGATTTGTTAAAATTTCGCAAATTAAATTACTGATTCAATTTTCTGAGGTAGTACACGAAAAAGTTATTTTTGCAAATGGAATGAATAAGATTGCAAAAAATTATTATTAAAGAGATGGACAAAAAAGGGGATAGTAATAAAGGATGAAGTTGAGAATGCACCATAGATGAAAAATTTTAGTAATATTCTTAATCCTGTTATCACAGATACATCTTTACTAATCAGATTATTTTCCAAGCACAAAACTGCCACGATGAAGTTGATAATCTTGCTGAAAAAAAGAAGAATCCACTGATTCAAAAGTAATTGTTCTTACCCTTTCGTTGTAACAGTCTAAGGCAAGAGAGATAGAATTTTCAACAAATTAGAAGAACGCAATCCTTTTTTTAATTAACCAACAACAAAAGAATAATACCTGCGTCTCGGTGACACTGAGTAGCTTGGCCAATTCACCCCTCTCACTGGAAGACAAGTACTTCTTCTTCTCGAACTGTTTCTCAAGTTCAAAAATTTGTCCGCCAGTGAACGTTGTTCGTGCTTTCTTTTTTTGTGGTTTTTTGAAGACAGTTTGAACTTGTGATGACTTCAAACTTTTACTAATGCACTTACATCTTCCTAGAAAATGCAGTTTTGGCAACAAAATGCTGAAGATATAAATCAATTAATTACAAATGATTAATCGAGGAGCTCACATAAGAACCAAAACTATGATCCAAAGTCTGTGATCTCGTCAAAAACTCCAGTAAAGGACAAAAGTCAATCTGAACTGATCCGCATCAACTTTACATCTAATAAGCTTTAAAAAGTAGAAATGGCATGCCTTCGGAATGCACGTGCGCTACTGATGAATTGTTGGACAAGATATCCCGAATGGTGTATGAACTTGTGGATTTTCGAGCCGGTGTTGGAATCAGAATAGGTGGCCACAAGTAAGCATGCCGCAATAAGGAGAGCAGGTAAGGAGATATGGTCGGTAAAGCGGATGATGGTGACGATGAGAAAGATGACATGGATTAAGTGGGCTGAGCCTGAGCCCGAGCCTAGCAAGATATAAACTGACCAATGATTATGTATAACTGGATCTGATATATTGAGCTTTGCATTGCAGCCGCAAATCTACTCAATCAGGCGTCTTGGCGAGAACCACAGATCCCTTTAATTACTAGCCATTCATGGAAGCACCACTTGAACCACAATTCAGGATATATTTTATAACTGATCCTCCAGTAATTTAGAATCATTTATTACTGATTTCTTCATCACAACAACATTTTTTTCTTGATGGGGACGCTGTCAGCACTTGCAACATGCTCAACTTATCAAAAAAAGCTATATTCATTGCAGCAGCTCCTTTTATTATTCGAAAAAGAAATACGATCGAAACGTACTTCTAATGACTTCATGTCAAAACGTGCGCTAGCGGTACGAATTTAAGACATGAAAAATTCATTAAACGTTAAATTTTGAATTCCTTATTAGAAATAGTTGAAATAATTGAACCACTTTGCCGGTGTGCATCCTCTTTTAAAGATTGGACCATGCAATCCCGGTATAAAAATGCACCCCATGCTCAACACTCATCCTTTACCTCTAGTTGTTACACCGAAAATCATTTGTAGGATTGAATATCAATGTAAAAAGAAAATGGCAGGAGACAACCACGTATGAAATGAAATATACGAGATACAATGAACATTACCTTACCATATTTAACAAGGCCACATTTCTTCTTAATACCCTCCTCCAGCACACAAGGAAAGTATTAGGGATACAAACTATTGAGTTTGTTCCTCGCAGTGCAAATGCTATTGGAAAATGATAAAGGAAGTAGTCAATGAACCAGATGAAAGAGTACAGTACCATAACGCATTGTCAGTAGATACTCTTATCATTTCATTCTGTCTCTGCTTTTTTTAGCGATATTCAAACTGCGAACAAGTTTGCCCAACAAATTCACTTCAGCAGTATATGTGTGAATGTAATAAGCGAGGGGAATCTTGATATGGAAGTGTTTCGGCGTAATTCCATGTGCGTTAATATAATACAATAAAGTTAAAGTTTATAAGTCGATAAACAATGACAAATAATAAACAATAACAATTATGATATAATGGAGTACTGAAATTCCCTTCAGAAATAAAACAGTAATAAAGTTGAATATTAGCAGAAATAATCACATAAAAGATTTGGTATTGAGAATGAGTCATAAGGCAATGGTGGCACACTACGTGAAATATATAAAATACAAAACTGTGGAATACATAAATGTTGCTTTCGAAATCTTTTGATTATAAACTTCACAGCTTAATCGTTAAAACCATAATAAAATCAAAATGAATTTTGCAATTTTAGTTGTCCATATCTTCTCTCCTAAAACAACACCAAAATATATATCAGATAAAATGGCCACCGCGGTGATTACAATATCTCTGCGAATCCATGTTTCAACATGACCTCCATTAACAAAGTCATCATCTATATAGCTGAAAGATAAATACAACAGCAACTGGGTACAGCGCTGCAAAACTATAAGTTTCAGCAACGGGAAAGAGTAAAGAGATAAACATTGCTGACAAGAAAGAAACTAAAAGAATAAACGAAATCGAGCGACTAGTAGCAGATATAAGAATGGGGGTGCTTTATGCGATGAATCACAAAACATACTCAAATGGCTCATAAATTTATGCGTCATCATTTTTGTTACTTTCTAAACCATTTCAAAACAAGGTTGGAAAATTATGAGTGATTATAGCAGATCGTGAAAAAAAAGGAATCACATATTGGAAACTAGCTTATATTTCTCCTTCAAACTCATCTGAGTGTCACGTCGGGGATCTTTCTTACGACTCACCAGTCGACTGCGTGCTTCATCTGCACTCAGCTTAAATATATCAGGTATTCCTGAAACTAAGAAGTGCACAGTATTGAAATTTTGAGCAAAAGTTTTGATAGGTTTCTACAGTACACAGTAAAATTCGTGCCAAACTACATGAACATCATCAGCTATTGTACAAATGTTTCAGCAAAATCATACTTAAAATCAGTCTTTCAAATGTTTTTTCAGCAATCAGAAAAAGAGAGTCTGCCTCAGTTGTTGATACATCAAACACTAGAAACAACAACCTCGATATTGCCACGTCCAATTAAGAGTCCTTTTTCCGGACAACAATGCAAATATAACCGATCACTTGAAAATATCCATTACTACCACTAACTAACTAGATGGTGAACACAAGACTGTGTTGTCGAATGGACTTATAAAACTTAAGTTTTACAACACAGAGCCCACAAGGCTATCGAGATATGTCCTGAAACATATAGTTTTAAAGCTATAAGATCTTCACAAACCACTTTTATCCATTTTGTCGTTTCTCTCGAACTTCGCTTCATCCTGGCGAGGCAAATTTGCTTCTTGTTTTAATGGAGCTACCGATGCAGTGATCTTTCTCTTCGAATTTGGTGAAACATTTTTCTGAAGTCAATGAAACATTTGTCAGACAACTCGTTACTGCGTACTTTCAAATTCAGGTATCCTCCTCCCCACTTATTTAGCCATTATGTTTCGGCAAGTATTTAAAATTTAGCAAAATTAATAAATCACGATCATTCTATTGTTGCAATTAGTTGGTTTTTTGTTCAACGATATGATTTTTAGCCAAAATACTGAAACAATAACTTTTATATCAGAAAGCCCTTTCCCAGTTAAATAAGTCTTAGTTATTCTAAAGCATCTTGATATTCCAAGAAATTCATGCATTCTTAAAGTACTCACGGAAGGTATGCATGAAAAGGAAACTTTCTAAATGAAAACACTAGGATTCAAATTTGTGAGTGCCAGCGTTTCTACATCTTGCAATGTTCTTCTTATAAATTAATTCATATGTTAAAAAAGAAAACGATAAAAAAAAAGCTTGTAAACGAAGTTTTAAAAAGACACAGCACAATGATATATGCCTACGGTGAACACAAATGTTACTGTTTTTTTTAACAAGCGCGCGAGTCTTTCAAAAGAGACAACACAGCCGGATCCAAAAATAACTGAAATTTCCACAGTCGTGAATAATTTAATATTTCCGTAAGCATAAATTATGCTGCTACAACAGTGAGGCGAAGCCGAATACGAAAAAAAATTGAAAAATAGTTCATATCTGCAGAGGCTACTCTTGCAAATATCTTTAAAACGAAGCAATTCACTGATGCAATATTTCACTGAATAAGTCAAGTCCCACTGACATAAGGTTTTAAAAAAAAGAAAAAAATACACTTCCCCACATAGTTAAAAATAACGACAAAAACGAGAAATGCTAGGATTCCATACTAAAGCTGTACTAACAGAAACTACTGTAGATGAAGATGAAGGAAATTTAAGCTATCAATATTATTAAAACCGAGTTCTATAGTTGAAAGTGAGATAGAGAACCAAATAGCGACTGTGTGTAGCTTCACTTCAATTTCTATGTAGTTAATAAGTAAGTTCAAATGCATGGACCGCATCTACAGAAATATGAGGATGATTCCTCAAAATGTCCTATATTTTCTCACTTCTGCTAAAATATCGACTTTATAATTTGGATAGTCTGATAGTTATTCTTTCGATAATTCATCGCGTTGTATCATAACATCATATCCCTTAATCTTCACTGCTTTCTTTGTGAACTAATCAAATCTATATGATGCTATCAATGAATCTCGATGATTTCTTTTCTAATCTTCTAAGCTCTGTTCTAATTTCCGAACGAAATCAAACAAAATAAGTCCATTTGAAAAATAAACAGAAACTTTAGCGTTGGGGACCATTTTCAAGACAGCGAGTAGTATGAAAGCAATTTCACTGCGGTGAGTTTGTTAGTTTGTAACGTGCAAATTAGCATCATATCATACATAAAGTAGTTCTAGCGATGAATGAAAAGGTTCCACAAATTGATTGGTCAAGCGCTCAACAGTGTTCATTGTTATTCATTGTGGAATTTGAATAAACTTACACTGGAATTGATAGATGGCTCGCCAAACATCTTCACTTCGTTCGTCGGCTGAAACGTATGGAAATTCTAATAGCATGAAAAAACCGAAATAATAAGCCACAAAGACACTTCGAGTCTTCTAACAAGCTCATATGACTATTGGAAAGTCAATGAAAATGAGGGAGGGAAAAAAATATACGATCATATATAAATGGTGCGTATGGATGGATATGTTCCTGCCTTACCTATCAATTACTATGACAGTAATCAATATTCTATCATCAGCTTTATAAGCAAAACTGACTGTTAGGAAAACTCTCTCTAATTCAACAAAATTGGATTAAGACTGTCGTATCACGAGAACTTCACATCTATTTGTATTTGACAAAATTTTCTCAGAAAATTAGATCGTTTACGTGTCTTGGCTATTTCATCCATGGCTTTTGACAAATATTTTCATAAAATATTAGACTGTCGTTACTACTAATATACAGCGCAACCTCAAATCATCTAAATTTCAAAATCTCTATTTGGTAATGCCATATATTCGATGACCCCACAGCAAGCCATATATACGTAGTTACACCACCGCCTCTTAAAAAAGCATATCCTGCAGCAGTAAAAGAACCAGGAGTGCTCGAAATCTGATGCAATACAATTCCTGTTGGGAATGCGTCAACAGATCGACACGATAGAATAACCTTCCGAAAAAAATTTACGAGTCGAGACTACCAGTAATTAATCCTACATAAAAGTAGTTGAACAGAGATATTCTAAAAAATCACAATGTTTAAAATGACAGCTGCAAAGACAAAAGCAGTTTGTCAAACCATTTGTTCAATGTGTGGAACAAATAGTAAGAAGTCTACGCTCTTAAAATTTATTTCGAAGTTATACTCATGTATGAAAAGCATACAAAAAAGTTTGAAAAACAACCATAGTAAAATTAACTAACTGTTTAATTCTTCATTTTTAAAACCTTTAGGACATTATACGATGTCCTATGAAAATATACCATACAAACTTTTTATCTGAGTAAAAACTACTAAATTTCGCGTAATGTATGCAAGTCATAAAGAGACGAAAAAAGGGATGGCAATAAGGATAAGAGGATTGATATTATGAAACAGCGACGCTTCTAAGCATTTCGCTAAGATGTGCATCAGATCGCTGACAGGGTTTACTTTTGTGACTCTTTTTCGATTACTAACGGAACGTACTATAGCTAATAATAGTAGAAGTCACAAATATCAAATAGTCGCAAATATATTTTTATCAGTAGAAGTCGCAAATATCAAAAGCACCGAACAGTAGTACTACAATGATAGTGAATGGGAGTACGTCACGATAGAAACCGATACCAAGTTAAGAGTAAAAATACGGGACAATGAAATTGAGTAGGGAAAAAGTGGTGAAATTACACAAATTCTCGAAATGAACAGGAACTGAAAATATCGATGAGGTGTTATTGACAAAGGCAAAATCCCTGAAAAATGCTGAAAGGAAAACCGCAGATAGCTAAATATTTATTATTTTCTATAAGATATAAAAATAATGTAGAAAGCTTCGCATAACATTATTTACTTCGTAGGAGGTTACTCGAAGGCGATTTAAATGAACTATGTTAATTAAACCATTCAAAACACTCAATATCATCTTTGATATCGTTAAATGACATTACAGAAGAGATGGAGCTAAACAGGAAATAAGGTTTTGGAAAAAATAAGATGGTGTTCAATGATATATCAATCCTATTGCCTTCACACAATGAAGTCGTATCATCAAAACTACTTGAAATTGCAAGTAACTTTTGGGAGCCACAACGGTTTCTAAGCCGCTGATTCGTGACTAGATGGATTGCATTTTGTTGAGTATATGAAATGGTTAAGTTAGAAGATGTTTAACATGCAACGTATCGTCTATAAAAGATAAAGTGAACGTTAACTGTTAATTGTTGCCGTCGATTACGGACTTTATCACAAGAGGTCAAAACAGTTTGTCTTCCATGTTGAATTCGACATCCTAAACTTCCCAGTGGAAAAACAATCAGCAAGGGTGAAGACAGCACTAGTGAAATGCTGTATCGATCTATATCCTTCAGGGAGAAGACAGGAGAGCAAATGAAAATCTAAAGACAAATGAACAGTAATAATTGAAATTCAACTATATTGCTTATTTCTGTAAATATAATTAAGATGCTGGGAAATAGAAAATGGTAATAAAACTGAATAACAATGAAAATATTTATAGAACAGCAGTAAATTAAGCATAGTAGACAAGATGTATAATCAGATCTGTGCAATGTATTCCGATAATCATATCTATTTAAAAGCAATGGTAATGTGGATGATCGCTACCTCGCTATTAATTCACAAGATCAGGATAAATTTTCCAAACTCCATTCCTCGAACTTCATAAATAGGAAAAAAATGAGACATTACGGAGAAACGGCTGTTTTAAAAATGAAAAGATATTCCGAGACAAAAAATAAAAAAAATATCATCAGTTGGGAGAAAATCCTCAACTTCGAATTACAATATTTTTCTCGAAGCTTAGCCAATTCTATGCTTATATTTTAATCATTGCTAAAAAACACTTTTAACAGATACGAAATTTAAAAACAAAACTTACAGATGAACCATTCTCAAAATTATACAGATCTACCCGACCAAATGAATATTCCATATGGTTTTCAGTGTACCACTGGTCAACCTCTTCTGATGCAACTAGCAACTCGGTTCGTAATGGATTCTTTTTTATTAATGATACAACTTCCTGAAAAATAACTTTTAGATCATCTATATGAAAACAATTAGTTTTTCAAACTCATCCTAGCATATACCATGAGAAATTGCAGTTTTCTGAAGGAAAATATACATTCAGACTTTTGGCTTTAGACTAAGTTTTTTTAGGTTAATGCATCATTATATAAATACTGAATTAAACTAAACGTGGTTATCAAAAGTAAAAATTTTCAATCGTAGCAAACTACCTTAAAATAAATCGTTGCAACAGTACATTAAAGACAAGAATATAAACTACACAGTTCAATTATTTAAAATTTCTATAACAGCGCTAAAATTATATACTTTGTGAGCAGTGCTTGGGTAAATGAGCTGACCATTAACACCCACAATTCGTTGTCCCATTTGTAAACCTGCCCGTTCACCTATACCATTGTTATCAACAGCTCCAACAAAATGGCCTCGATTCTTTTCGGCATGCAAATTAAATCCGAACTCTTCCGTCGGGTCACGTTTTCTCTGCATCAAAATTAAACATAATTTACAAAGCACTTAAAAAGTGAGAAAAATTGCAAGTAAATATTTCCAATTCCATCTTCAATTTATAACATTATTCCGGATAAAACGCATGACTGTTACAATCGTATCCATATTTTTTCAAGAAATGATAACTCATATGAGCTGTATCTCAGTGCGATGATTGGATCATTTCAAGAAACTAATGCTATATATTAGGAATTTTGGGTAAGATTAGGAAGGAGAATGTACAAAAATTAAGATTTTTTAAAAGGGGTCTGTGCACAAATTTTTATATTGGAAGAAAATGCTTGATTCTCTCCACAAATTTTTTTATTTGAGGAGATTTATGAACCGATAAATAAGAACGTCCGATTCACCAACAATTCTTAATTAACATTTTTTAAATTGTTAATTTTGTATTTGTAGAAATACGAACCAATCGGCACAGTCGTGGTTTGGGAATGTTCGTCATTGATAGAACAGATCTTGTCGAAGAAACGTTATAACTTATCCTATCCTCCTGAAAACGATAAAACTTCGCATCCCATTCCTTTACAAAAAGTTTCTTGAATATCAGTGCCGTAAATAATTCATATATTTCATTATCAGCTTCCAAGAGCATTCTTCAGTAGCACTTTTCCAGAAGAACAATATTAAAAATCAGCCAAAATTCTAAGTTTGCTAAAAATCACTTTGGTGAAACATTCGGAATATTTTGCTGAAAAAGTCAAGAGGAATAATAAAGAGCCCACGAGGGGAATCCTGTGACTTTGAAAAATGTCAAGTGTCTAGATAACCTGTCACTTTCGCAACAAAATAAACAAAAATGGAAAATTTCACACCAGATCAGTGTTTTGAATAAAATTTGCCAACAACCAAAATTAAATGCTTTTTTAAGTATGAATTAAAATAAGATGAAAATGAGGAAATGGAGAGAAATATTAAAATATGATCGGCAACTGGCGATCCTTATCTTTCATTGAGCTGTCAGAAATAGCACTTTCCAAACTTCAAGTCCAAAAATATCAGAAAAATGAAACTCCTGTCTTGCCGCTAACAAATGCAAAACAGTGACCGCCAAATGTGGAAAATTAGAATTCCAGATTTTGAGGCCGTTCATTTCTTTCTAGAGATTTAAAATCTTACACCATACAAAAAATCCGAAAAATTATGCGGAAAATCCAACACATCTAAAATTCATGCTAAAAAGTTTGATATTAAATACTGAATTCTTTCCATCGAAGAAAGTTATGAATATCCGAAAATCGAGGTCTTCCAAAAACTACCTGTAAAAAATTTACGAAAGCATTAATCACTACAGTGATTGGACCAAAATTGCTTCGAGAACAAAGTTCTCAAAATTATATCGTTCTCGCCACCATATGCTACCTGCAACCTTTACTATGTTTGATCGCCCCCTGACGCAAAACATTTGCGTCGATTTCTCGAGACCTCAAGCGATGTGTACCAGACTCTTCGCTTCGATCACATCGAACCTGCTATTGGTATGCTCGTTTTTTAAATTAAAGTGGAAAGAATAAATTAATGCTCTAAATTGCACCGATAATTGTTACTGAAAACGGGAAGATTTCCGCGAATTAACTGTTTTCTTGGTCAATAAAACATTATTCGGAATAAATACAACCGACTATGCACCGAATTGGACCCTTTCAATGCAATTCTACTGTGCATCTTTTAACTTCAAATAATGTTTGATTACTTGCGTGCTATGCGACACCATTTTTATGGCATTAATATAAATGTCAGATTCTCAGTATCTGAAGAATTGATTCAGAAAAACAAAGAATTATGAAATACATTCAGCCTTACTTAATTCTCGATCACCACAAAAACACAGCTACATTTTCCAAACAGGCGTAGAACTCCGGATAATTGAACAATTTTTCGAAACTTTTTTTGACTAAGCTAGCCAATTTCTAAACAAATGTCGATGTTAATTTAAACTGTACTAATTTTCCCAGAATTTGTGCTACTCTCTTTTACCTTTCTTAATAGCTCTTGCTTCGCTACAGTATTACCGAGAGAGAGAGAGAGAACGAAGATTCTGTAAAAGAAACCCAGCCGAGGAGTTGGAAACTATTAAAAGTTTGTGTGACAACCAAAAAGTAAACAACACAAGAGCAACATAACATTATGAACTTAAAAACTGAATGAAATTAATATTATTCTTTCTTGAGAATTCTCAGATCAAAACTTAATCAAAACAAAACTTATTTTTCTAAAATCTGACCTGATAAAGAATGGAATGAACTAAATGGAACCGATCTAAATCAGTCTATTCGGAGAAAATATAAACATTGATGGCCAGACTACCATACGTATGTACATAAACGAAAACGTACACACAGTATATGAGTACATATACATATATATGTAGACGCAGAGAGAGAAAGAGTGATAGATAAAAAGGAAGCAATCTCGGGACATAATCGATAATGTCGTGAAAAGTGTATGGAAATAGAACGTTGGGAAGCATGACCGGAAGGTTTCTCTCTTCCTCTCTCATTTTCAATGGTAATAGTGTGTCGTCACTTTCTGTTCAATTTAACCAATCCTTCACAACCCACGAATGATAGTAATGCGGGACAATCTCATATACACATCTACTAACATTTTACACGCCTTAAATGATAATCGAAATATATTTGATATAACTTGTTGTCCAAGTATCACTCTTTACGATGACTATGTCATATTACATCTTCACATGCTACACTAATTGCCATCAAGAGTAACTGATATTTAGCTAATTCCACACATCATGAAGAAGTGCAATTTGTAATAAAGGAGTATGAACAGTTGATGAAAACTCTCAAGAATGTATTAATTTAGATCGGATTACTGGATAAGTATGGCTACTAAAAGTTATGAGTCAGATTCATCTTTAAGTAGACATTATTGTTTGTTTGTCTTGTTAACAATAATCAGATCGGTCTATTTCATTCATCGCTTTTCTACAATTGCCCGTAACATCACTTCTCAACTACAGTTCAGATCAGTGCAATTGAATAAAAAGTATTCATTCATGAGAAATATTTGACAATTGATACAATATTCTTGCGAAGTTCTCAAAGGAAGGAATAGATGGATGGGCAGAGGAAGATGAATGAGTAACAAGTGGACTCATCATTTTAAGAAATGACTTAAACACAAATCTAACACATTTCTTCACTTCAAAACTATGATTCGCCATTGTGGAATTAGACAGAAGCAAAACGATAGTGAAGAGGAAAATAGAAAAGATGAACAGACACCAAAAGGAACCATTCATTCTTTTAACAAAAAATTTGTCTTGAATTGTGTTCAATGAAAACATTTGCTAATAGCGATACATGCTTCAGCTAATAAGCTTATAAAATACAGAACACTTTTGTTTGGAAGTGATAGAATTCTTTCAGAGTATTATAATACATAGTATTATAATTTGATTAAAACGAATGTATAAACAGCCGGCAAAATTTACGTTAAAAAAAGAGAAGGACTAACCCTTGAGAAGTACCAATGAATTGCTTCTGAAGTTGTTAGCGACTTGTTCTCGAGGTAGTACTGTGGCTCCTTACTGAAAAAATGAAGTGATGCACTGTCCTGATTGTGCTGAAACAATCATAAATTTCGCTAATGGTAACCAAAAACCAACAAATCCGAGATATTTTGAAAAAGGCAAAGCACAGAAACCTCATCCTTCTCTTCTACCATGAAAATTCGAAATAATAGCAATGTAAGTGAAATCTTCCATCAATTGTTCGGTTGGATGATAGCATTATAGCTACTTGTTATTTTCAGGCAAAAAATGAAAATAAGCAATTTGGAGTATGTTAGAGATGAGATATCAATTGCTTCGAACATGCTTATTATTAACACCCAGACTAGTATAAGTGAAATGATATGCCCAGCCAATTTTAGATTTATCCGGTAACTATGCGACAAGAACACGATCGAAAAAAAAAATTAATTATCGGAATTCACAGATTAATTCCACCTTCAGAAATGATGATTGAGTGAAATAATGTAAAAAAAGTCTAGTCATGTATTTCGGCTTTACTGATAGTTGATATCTTCCACTATTTTTTATTAGAGTTAGCGCATAATATGAATTTCATTCGAAAAACGAAGTATTTTCATGCATGAATCGCTGAATAAACAAAAAAAAATTCAATATTAAGATGACATTACGAATGATACAGAACTCATCATAACCTTTCTAGACAATTAATGAATTGGCAAGCAAGAAATTAAGAATGACTATTTGCTATTTCATTTGTTTTCCGCTTTTTTTCAAGAACTGGAAAGAGTAAGCAACATGCATCCTTACGGGAAGATACTGGTAATCTGTGAGGGTAGCCATTAAAAGAAAACGAAATCCATAATGAACAGATTTTAAAAAGTATGAAAAAGATAGCATTGGAAATATATTCACCACCTGTATACAACAGTGCATTCACTTCACTGAGTACTTGATAAAATGAACGAATCGCACATCGAATGAATAGATGAATACACCATCAGCATTCAGTACATTAGAATATAAAAACAACGTGTATCTAAATGTGGGACTCGATTGCTCTCTTCTATTCCTTATTACAGACCCTATCAATTTCTCTGATCTATACACTACTTATCATGAATATAATTTGCAGCATGAAATGTGTTCAATAATAAATTGTCATTAATTTGATGATATAGCTATAAGGAGTGAAAGTGCGAACGCCTGAAACGAACCAGTTCAAAATGTTAAACTAAAAAACCGACCTTTTTTTGTTGAGAAGACCAGACATCAGGTAAGGAGAGCGTCAGGGCAGTATTATTCCTTTCATACCATGCCAAGTTTTCTTCTGATATTACAACAAGTTCACATTGCAGAGGATTCTCTTTGATTTTTTCAACTACCTACAAATAAATTTCCAGAATTTTTCATAATTCATAAGCCACACACGGATGTTTCAGATGGTGGGAACGATTCGTGTGAAAAATTGAACGAAATATTATTATTGCACATGAAATTCATCTAATCCTTCCTTGAAATTTATGATTCCTTTAAATAGACTACTGCATGATTCCAGCATGCTGTCCAGATCTTTTTGTACCTTAATCGTAGGAGCTCAACTCAACTATTCATTTCATTATTCATCTTAACTGCATACCGATTATGCATGGTTCATGAGTGATCAGTTAACGCCCACTGGTCAATTTATTTTTTACGAATTATTATTGCCTATATCAAAGCATGATTTCAAGAAGGAAAAAGGAAAAAGTTAAGTATCCGTTTCTCTCCAAGCTAATGGAACAACCACGAATGTCTCTTTTAAAAACTTGAAACGATCTGATTAATGAAGCAGTGGAAGTGATATAAAAAGTAGGCGAGAAATGCAAAACATATGCAGTAAACGGCAACAGAAAATATTTGCATAAACCAAGATTATACAAAGCTGCTCCAGCAATTTCATTATTTTAACTCAGCTCGTAATCAAATCACATTCGCGTTATTTATAATAAGAAGTCAAATTCTACAATCAATTTATTTTATATGAATTTAAACCTTCTTATCAATGATTGCCCTTTGCCAAATGTCCGCATACTGCTGCTAGTAAGAATCCAGTTAGAGTTAAATTAACTCTGCATCAATGACCTAATGCGTACTTTACCATGTTCAAATCAACTTGTAAACCCTGAATTATTCTTGAAGAATTACTTCATAAATCTTCCATTCTACATTTTACTGATTGTTGCTATTTCGCTTAATCACCAATTTTCATTTTTTCGCTGCTGTTCTAGCAAAGGAAAATCAAAATTCACTAAAATTACGAGTAACTTAAGTTATGAGCAAAAAACTAGGAATTTACTATAATCGCACGTCAGCAAATATCTTTCAAACGAGAAAGGAATATCTTTAAGGTCACAGATATAGATAGAAGAAAGCGGATGGTGTCCGACCAGTATTTAACTGGGCAAACGCCATGCTGGGTAATGTTGATTTTCACCCGTTATGGTTGGTATTCTTTCTTGAGATTACAGGTTTCATACTACCAGGTGTTGTCAACAACTAATGTTTATACTTCATTTTATTGTTCTGCTTTTTGTTCTTCACATTCATCAGCAATTTTTTTAATTGGTCTTCAACAAAAAAAGTAGTTAGTGGCATCTCCTCATTTACGAATTTCATCGCCGTTAAGCCCCAAAGCAATTTTCTGTTTGCAAAAACTGTCTAGAACACCAGGTTGATCAAAATATAAAACTTAGTTAGAAATACGAGGCTGATCAAAGGCAATTCAAAACATTCCATTTTGATTTTACTTCTGATTGAAACAAAGATATATAATCCCTACTCGGTTTAAAAAAGAAAAAGAATTTTCGTAATGAGCAATCTGCACTTCGACATATAGAGGAAGATGAAAGAGTGGTGAGCGTTATTAACCTCCGAAATGAATCAGATCAATTGCGAGGAAGGAGGGCTTGCCCAAGTTTTCACTATATGTCATGCGACGCATAATAGGGAGGAAAACGATCGTGACTTTCTTACTACCATAACAATCCAGACAAGTTCTCATCTTTTTCATTTACGATAAACTATATCATGAGGTAAAAGCGGGAAGCTTGAGAGAATTTAGGCCTAATTAATCGGTATAATACTATTCAATAATGAATAACACTATTCAATAATTAAATTTACAAGAATTCAAAACAAAGATAATAGTACCAAATGGGTGCTTCACATCATTTTCTCATCATTTTACTTCACAAATAAGTCTGTCAATTGATTTTGAATTACAAGGCACAACGGTATTCTTACAAAATTTTAAAAAATTGAAAAAAAAAGAATTAGGACTTGAAAAATTAGAATTGTTGACGAAATTTTATGAAACAAAAATGATTGAAAAATAAAAATTTGGTTAGTTGTACATCGATGAACGACAATGAACACCAACTACAACAGATATACATAACTATGCTCGGCTCAAAAAAATAACGGTAATAATTCTACTAAACATTCTTATATGAATGCTTCCAAACAAATGAAAGCATTAGGGGAAATCATAGCCCATTGTTTTATTTTGTTTTGTAAAAAGCTTCAATGTAAATTTATAATTCATCCAGTTAAACTTATAGCTTAACCACCAAAAATTGGTATCAAGAGAGCGAAAATGTTAGAAGATTTGAGTATTAAGTGCATTAATTTTAAGAAAGATGAAGACCAATGAGACTTGATAAATTGTTATTGTGATTTTTCATTTTATTTTTATGTTCTATTCGAATAACAATTTGACGAAGCTTCTTTCCCCACTGTTATTCTGCCATGGTTAATTTTGAGCTTTCATTGAATATCTTGTAATGTTGCTTTTTTAAAGTGGACAAAACACTAACAAATTTGCAACAAAATAACACCGATATTATTTTAGGTTTTGTAAACTTTACAGACTTTACAGTCTATTCTAATTCCATACTTCTCATTCACTAACTGTAGCCTACATATTATAATAAACTAAAAAAAAAAAATATGGGCAGCCAAATTAGGAACATAAAAAACTAATTTAGAGTTTGTTTGTGCATGATGATTTACATCAGCAAAAATCAGAGATGATAATTTACAACCAAAAATTCATATATCAGGAATATCCGAGCATTCGATGCTAGAAAATGGATCCCTCATATCCAAAACTTCTACTTTCCTGTAAGACTAAAGCTAGTAGTGGTTATAACAATCACATACAGTTACAATTCAGCGGTACTGCTAAAGCTAATGCTTTCTTGTCAGCAATGTAATTGGTTTGATGTATAATTTGATTGTAATTTGCGCCTCTCTTTACTCCCAACAGAGTTTCCAAAATGCGACTCGTTTTAGAAATCGTATAATAGTAAGGTAATTACTGTAGGCAGCCGATACCAATGATTGATGCTGTTATTCTGATTAAAAACATGATTAAGTAACAAATCATATTTCAACTGATTCTTCAATATCACTAATAATATTGATAATTATGTAATGCAACACGAGACGGTTTCTGGTGGATGACAAATGACATGATTTGGATGCCTCACCCGTACTTGCATTATCAATACAAAAACACCAATAATAGATCTCACAGTTTATAGAGTAAAAATCAAGATGAAAAACATCTGAAACTGCAGAATGATAGATGAAGTCATATAGGAGCTTAAATCGCTCTCTCTATGAAACCCTACTACTACTATTTCTTAGTACTAAAAAGGAAAAAAACCAATTTAGTGAAAGATTCTTAAGTACGAAATTAGGTGTTTAAACTAAGTAAAGAGTACACAGCTTGGAAGTACTTACACATGCGAAGATAAGAAAGAGAAGCGCATAAAGAATAGAAATTTGAGTTTTATGGACAGCTAAACATCGTCTTTCGAACAAAAGCACTTAAATGGTAAGGCATGAAAATAAGTATGAGGAACATACCGATCTGAATCAAAGAAGTGGTAAAAATGAGGGAAAATTATCTTAATAGATATTTCAAATGTGAAATGACGTCAACTATAAGATATAAGCCTTATTTAAAACAGCCGTTGGCTGAATTAGAATTTTTAACTTTTTAACTTCTGTAAAAGAGCAACTGTTGAGAAGAAATTTGAATAAAAAAGATCATTGGGAAACTGAAAAACAATAAAAGAACACTGAAAAATAGGGTTTCCACAAAAATCATCTAGTAAGATTAACAACTAAGATTATTAAACCAGTAACAGGAGTCAGCGACGCTCATAGTGAGACCACCCAACTATTTTTAGCTTCAGAAAAGGCTAGCTTTCGATCAGCCTCATGATGTAATTCTCTCCCCACAAGATATGATTACCAAATCTTTATTTTTCTTAGCCATTGAAGATTCCCCGAAGAACAACTCAAAGATACGAAGAAATAGGCTATGACTACGAGTGTTGGCATCTATCAATGAGTAACAGTCAAGATATCGAAAGATCAAAAATCGAAATTGAAATAATCTCTCAAAAGAAGCAACGCCAGTACCGACATCAAACAAGTTGTTATTACCTTATTACGCCAGAAAAAAGGGCCTAGAGACGAATGTAGACAAAAATCAAAGAGGGCCAGAATCAGCATCTGGCAAATCTATTTGGTATGAATGAAAGCAGTGTGGAACGCAGCTGCCCTCTACTGGACACAATATGAAGTTACTAAGAAAAATACTGGACGTAACCATAACAACTAATTTTGAATCTAGAAAACCAAAATTTTTCAAAGAAAACTTGTGTAATCAGTCAGCTTTCAAAAATACTTCCACACAAAGATGAGATGTAGCGACATGCTGTCATTACGAAAACCAAATATACGACGATTAATAAACTTAAATTGGAGGAATGACAGCACAAAACATTCTATTATTAGCATAAATTAGAAAATAAAACTTGACCCTGTTACTTGTTACTACAGGCGAGAAATAAATATCACTGAGTGACAAAATCAAGTATTATTAATTAGCAAAGATCAATGGAACAAGCATAAGACAGAAGACAGGAAGGAGTAGGGAGATGAGAATGAACCATCAAACCATTTTACCAATCTTTTACTGGAGAATTCATTGTTGAACAACACTGACAATTTCTATAACAAGCATGCATGACATCTGTTAAACGAAAACACTGTATTTATCAAAGTAAATTACCAATTATCCTCTACCAACTCCTTCCATAATTACCATATCTCATTTCTGTTTGCATACGCCCTTACATCTATACTTCATCTCTTAGCAGTGGAGTATCGCTATAAAATTTCAAACGCACATATTCTATGTTGATACAAAAGTGTTCCTTCATTAACACTTACGGCAAGAATTTCCTTACTGCGAAATTCAGTGCACATAACACACAATGTGCTACAAGAAGCAATGTCCTCGTCTCAATGCAGTAGTAACCAACAAAGCAAAAAAAAATCAATCCCAGCAACAACACGTTTGAGATCTATAAGACTCCTACTTGACACAGCATTTTCGCATGCAATGATGGTTAAGCGATCAAATTTGTTTTTTTCGAATGATTAGTGAAATTCTAGACGAAAAAGATAGTCAGCAATAATTCGTAGGAGCTACAAAAATGGTAAGACACTTCCTAAATCAAACATAACAACAGCAATAAAAGCTATCAATAGATTAAGGGTTCTGCTAACATTTCTTTACCCAACACAAA